GCCATTCCTTTAGGCTCCTCTGTCCTGCTCCAGAGTTTGTGTACACAAGAATCCAGGGGCCAAATATTTTCTGAACACAAACAAAGATGGAAGGGCAGGCATAATTTCTTCTTCACTGCTACATTTATCTGCCCAGCAAATGCCATAACTTATAAAGGCCCCTGCTCAGCAACTGTCCCCTGGCCCTGGCCTTTACTGTGTTGGCTGAAATGCTTGCTCGTTCTGGTGTAGTTGCTGTTTTTGGATCATGCTAATACTTCTTCAATCCAAATCTAAATCCATCCTCATAATCCACCAGACTAAATCCCGATTAATCTAAACAGGTTTCATTTAACAGCATGCTTAGATATAATTATCTGCTGGTTCCAACAGCAAAAGTATCCAGGTAACTGACTGAATCCTAAATACAGAGGGGAAGTTAATTCGAATGGTCCATTTACACTCCTATGCTGCAAGACACCAGCCTGCTTACATTAATCTGCACATATTTCAGTAGCTAATTCTGCTGGTGAGCATGAGTGTGCACACACCAGAAATTTTCTGCTTTTAGGACTCCTTAAGAGAATATTCAATTTATCAGCTAGTAAATTTAATTGAGGGATGCATAGCTCAGTATGATGGGCATAGGACTAAGAGTCAGGAATTCCTAATTTCTAAACCAAATTATCTTAGTTTGCAAATTCAGCCAGACAGAGAGCTGTCTTACTTTACCCATGTAAAGCACAATACACACTTAAGGCAATATATAGAGAATTTTAGCCTAAATGATTAAACTTTGGCTGTTATAAAACAGAGTCTTATAATGGAAAGTGTTAGGCAACCTTAACCACAGCAAAATATTTGTGAGACTTTATCAGATTTGTATTAGCAGTTCTGTCTGCCCTAGACAATAATCATCCTATTTACAAATATTGCACTGTAGTGACTTTGTTATCCTACCTAGGGACATAGTCGATAAGAATTAATCTTCAGTTATAAAGTTAATATGACATTTATTACCTTCAAAGATATTTCACAAAATGATGCTTTACTAGAAACTACAAAGCACAGGAGGGAGTCATGGTGACTTAGCTTACCATAAATATTCACCGAAACTTCTCAACAAAATGTGTAAGGACAGTATCATCTCCACACAGAATGAAACAGAACAATAAAATCTCTAAGCTCAGTATTCCCTTCGTGCTGCCATAGCCTGGATGTATATGCAGTGGTTCAGTTTTGCTTGCTGCAAACACATGTATGTGATTTGAAACAAGCATGGGAATATTAAAAAGTTCTGTCTGAAAGCAGCAACTGTTGCCTTTATGTCCAATTTTGTTTTATATGCTCCCCATGGAGACACAATCAACCACATAACTGGTAACCCAATCCCTGGCAGTGGTTTGCTCCAGTGTTGTTAGAAGTGTGGTCCAGCCTGTGCTCATAGTGCTATGCCCCTTTTAGTCCCGTTAGCACAATGTGTGGAATTTCACTTGAGAGCCTAACTTAGATATGTAAGTGTGATAAATAAAGTGTGGGGGGAGCTCCCTTTTATGGACACCCAGCCAGCCAATTAGCTATAAAGTCCCTCTTGGTGGCTGCTTGCTTTACCTGTAAAGGGTTAAAAGGTCCCCAGGTAAAGGAAAGGGAGTGGGCACCTGACCAAAAGAGCCAATGGGAAGGCTAGAACTTTTTAAAATGGGAAAAAAGCTTTCCCTTTGTCTTTCCATTGTTCTCTCTGGGCTGGAAGGACAGAGCAGCAATGCTGTAAACAGCTTTAAGCCAGGTATGATCATAAATCATCAGATCATGCCTAGAACTACATATCTGAACTCCAAATGTATAAGTAGATCAGAATGTTTAGCTAGACGTGATCAGGTTTATTTCTGTTTATTTTTTAAGGCTTGTGGATCTCCTCTGTGCTAACCCCAGATACTTTTGTTTGCTTGTAACCTTTAAGCAGAACCCCCAAGAAAACTATTTTGAATGCTTAATTTTTGGAATTGCTCTTTTAAAATCTAGCAAAATCCTAAGTTCCAAATGTATTTTCTTTCTTTTTTGTTTTTAATAAAATTTACCTTTTTAAAGAACTGGATTGGATTTTTGGTATCCTAAGAGGTTTGTGCATATGCTGTTTGATTAGTTGGGGGCAACGGCTAATTTCCTTCGTTTTCTTTCTCCGCTCTTCCCTAAAGAGGGTGGGGCGGGTGAAAGGGCTTGAGGGTACCCCTCAGGGAGGAATTCCCAAGTGTTCCTTCCCGGGTCCTAGGGGTTTTTTTTTTGCATTTAGGGGGTGGCAGCATTTACCAAGCCAAGGTCAGAGAAGAGCTGTAACCTTGGAAGTTTAATACAAGCCTGGAGAGGCCAGTATTAATTTTTAGAATCCTTGAGGGCCCCCACCTTCTGTACTCCGTGACAGAGTGGGGATTCAGCCTTGACAGTAAATAAGAGACATAATGCGTGACAAACTTCACGCTCAGGGCATATCCCTTCTCGGCTCCCACAAGTTACTATGATGAGGCTCAAACTTTTTTGTAAAAATCCCAGCTTTTTTTCTTATACACAAAATAGAGGAGTCTTTAATTTTTAGGGCATTTTTGCTGTTTCGAGGTTTTTCTTTGAATAGGGCACAACATTTTTGATCTTTGGCATTCAGAGGTGTGTACATCATCAAAAATGTCATGCTGCCCATAAGACCTCATTCATTTCTAGTATTTTGGAAAGAAAACTATTCCTTGCACTTCTCATACGACAGTTAATCCACAAATGTATTTTCATGCTTATAACTCCTTAGAAAGGTTTTTTTAAAAATAAAAAGATTTAGTAGTTTCTAAATAGGTCTGTGATCTAGCTTTCATTTAAGAACCATGATGGATTTATTCAGCTTATTCAGTGTTGAAAAACATCAACATATAGCACAATGGCTATAACACAACATATAGCACAATGGCTCCTAGGAGCTCCAGTTCTGAATAATAGAAAATAATAATAATTAACAATAACAAAAGTAGCATCTAGAACAAATAACTTTGACCCCTCTGCTACTTCTGTCCTGTTATCTGAAAGCAAAGCACACAGCTAAGAATATTCAAATAGCTTTCTGGTTTTCACATTGCTGGGAAGATAACATATTGCTTGTTTTTCCACTCTTCTAAGTCTATATTATGGGGCTTGTCAACACAAACATTTAGCTCATGGCAAACTGGGGTGTGAATCTACCCTGTCCTAGCCTGCCACGGTCTAAGTGTGCTTGTGGACCCTCCTGATGCACACTAACCGTTTATTGGTGCACATTAGTCTACTCCCGCTTCAAGGCAGAGTAGACCAAAGTGCAATAATGAACTGTCAGTGCATGTCAGCAGGGTCCACATGGATACAGTGCGTGACAGGCTAGTGCAGGATAGATACACTCCCCAGCCTGCTGTGATCTAAATGTTCACGTAGACAAGCCCATAATGTAAAAAGAAAGTAACTGGAGCTCCATGTTTGAAGAGAGTGGTGCACTAGGTTTTTTCTCACTCGAGACTTGTATTCCAATTTTGAGTAGGTCACAAATTCATATGAATGTGGTGGCCGTATCCTAATTCCCATTTATGTATATCACAAAACCATCAATTAGTCATCAACATCCAACTTAAACTAATCTATAGACTGCTTTAGCCTATAATAATAATTCTTTCTTTGAGGATTTTCAGGGTCCATCACCACTGTGCTCCTCTCATCACATCCTGTCCCCTGGGCTCTCAACAACCCACAGCGATAAGCCCTGTAGTCACCTTTCCTGTAACTTCTTTTCCATCCTGGACACTCTAGATGTCTCGCAGTCAGTCAACTCGCCCATCTACTCCAGGGTTACATACTCAACCCACTCCTCTCAATCTCTTCCTAGCCTTGCCATCATTGTCTCTAATCTGGCTATTAACAAACACTCCCTCATCAGATCTGCACTTCTTTTCTTAGCCTAATGCCCCCGCCCCCATCTGTCTCATTTTTACTATAGCTCCCTAAAACACCGTAGACCTCTCACTTTTCAATCTAGTTGGCATGGGCCCGCAAACCCAAACTAGAATTTGTTATCTCTTGCAGCTGTTTAACAGCTCTCAGTGATGCTGGAACATTTCTGTGTCATCCTAGCAGACATCCTATGGAACATCCATTCAAATCAATAAATCTCCAAGGCACACCAGGTATGGCGAACACCCAAAGCTAAGGGCAATTGCCTAACCTCGCTGGAACAACTGTCCACAAGAATGCAGAAAATTTGCAAGGGCATTTAATTTTTGCACATAACCATTTAATACTTCAGTTATGCTAGAGAGTAGACGTTCTCTCTCTGAGCTGTTATTTCGCTGTCTGGCTCCATTCTCAACAAGAGGGCAATGCCTCGGTTTAACTTGTAAAGGTCAAATTCACAACCAGAAGAGGATCATTTTTTCAGAAAGAAAACTTAAATTCCGTACATTTCTGAAAAAAAAAAATCACCTCAGTACTGTGGGCTCCAGACAGGGCCGGCTCCAGGCACCAGCCCACCAAGCATGTGCTTGGGGCGGCGCCTGGAGGGGGGCAGCGCAGCGGGGCGCTCCGGCCTGAGAGCGGGGCTGCGACTGGGCTCGCCGCCCTCCCCGCGGCGCTCCTGCCACCGGGGGCTCTCCGCCCTGCTCCCGGCACTCTGGCCGCCGGGGAGAGCGGAGAGCCTCGGCCAGGCTCTCCACCCTCCTCCTGGTGCTCTGGCCGCCGGGGGCTCTCCGCCCTCCTCCCGGCGCTCTGGCCGCCGGGGAGAGCGGAGAGCCCCAGCCGGGCCCTCTGGCCGCTGGGGAGAGCAGAGCCACGGCCAGGCTCGCCGCCCTCCCCCCGGTGCTCCAGCCGGTGGGGGATTGCTCGGCGCCCTCCCCTGCCACGCTGGCGGGGGCGGGGGGCGGGTGGCTTTTTTGCCTAGGGCGGCAAAAAAGCCAGAGCCGGCCCTGGCTCCATAGCCCCAATTCTGTGCTGTGGCTGAGCTGAGCGTGACCCAGCTCCGGGGAAGAGGCAAATGTGGCTCTGTGCAGACCATCCACAGCAGCCGAAACAGTGGAGAAGCCTCTGAAGTAGAGGTATGAGGTTCTCCCTGTTTTTCTAGCTGCCAAGAGACACTGCTCGATAGCTCTAGCCTTTGCCTCCAGTGCCCTTTGAGAAGACAGGAATGTAAAGCAGAGGCTAGATCTGATGCTGTCTCCCCTCTGGACAAGCAGCAGCTTCTGCACTCCTTCCCTGGCATAGCGCAATGCCAGATCTATGCTGAGCCGATGGCAGCTGGCAGGTGGGCAACCAGGTGCAGAGATCCCTTTGCCTTACAGAAAAGTTATATGGAATTCATAAGGATAAAATCCTTGGGGGTTTTAGAGCAATTTAATGTGGTTCTACAGCAGTTACTCTAAACACCACTAAAACTGAATAGAGTGATGTTGGGGATATAGGTTTGTCAAAACATCTTACAGAGTTCTAGAGAAGAGATGTAGCTCTGCGTTCACTTCCACCAGATGGTTCCAAAAGCCCACAGAAAGTTATCATTTTCTATCATATCTGATAGGACCTGGCTCCGTTTGACCAAAATAAGAGCCTTGGTAAGTGGTCATCTGAAGCAGTCAGTTAGCTCAGGTGCTCTTCCATTTTCAGTGTTTTACCAGGGTTTCCTCAAGTTGCTATGATGGATTTTCTTGGTAACAGGAAAACAGGCAGGCCTGATGCTTCCCCACTCAGTTTTTCCATCTGCTTCCTCTCAGCTTTGGCCTCCACCAATAATCAAGGTCTCTTTAGAAAAAAGACACTCATGTTTAAGAATTAAGCAGAGAAGCCAACAAAATTGTCTCCCTCCAAGCATTTACCCTGTTGCTCATGTCAAGGGAAATGATAACAAACTGCACTATCTCACCAGTGTTACTCTGGCTTACACAGGGTTTCCAGAGTTTCCTCCCTAACTTCCAAAAATCTTGAAAAGCTAGCAGATCTGATTGCTCAGGCTTTATTCATAGTTTTATGGATTTTACAGCCAGAAGACAATGTGATTATCTAGACTGACTTCCTGTTTAACATAGGCTGTAGAACACCACCCAGTAATTCCTGCATCCAACCCCCATAACTTGTGGTTCCAAATCACAGATTGATTTGTGGACTCACTTGACACAAGACAAACTAGCTCACTGGAGTGAAAGCAGGCACCAAACAACCAAGGGCATCCCAAATGACACTACAATAAACATGCCAACTGTTAAGATAATGCCACTGGGATCAGTGCTGGGTCCCAGGCTATATCTTTACATTCCTTATATAAAAAATTGGCTAGTGACACTGAAAGTTACACGTTCATGCCTGCTGTTGGTACCAAATTTAGAAAAACTGCAACCCGTGATGAACACTACAGTCATACAGAACTACTGTGATTTAATTGAAAGGGCTGCTAAATGGCAATTGTAGCGTGAACACAGATACTGAACCCAGAGCAATGAACTAGAAAGAATAAAACTTTAAGAGAATTTCCAGTCAGAGAAGTTATTTTGGATTTATTACTTTGCTAAAGACTTTCACTGTTGCTTGGAATAAAAGCAAATGGGACTGTAGACTGGATTGTAGTAAACGCCTATGTAAACTAAACCCTTTGCACTAGAAGACAGCATGCATGGCAGCAAAGGAGTCAAGTGATTAAAGCAGGTTGGTATATTACTTTATAACTATTGCACTCCTATATTGTATACGAATGTTTGGATTTCCATTCCTCCTAAAGCGTGTAAGCCAAGATTTACAAAAGTGACTAATGATTTTGGTTGCCCCAATTTTTGGGTGCCCACTTTGAGACACATTAAAGGTGCCTGTCAGAGGGTTTTCTAAAATTTTAGCCCCTTTCAAGTATCTGAAGGTAGGGCCCCCCAAAAAAACTAAAAAAGGGAGGAACCCAAAGGCTACATTAATGACAAATATCTAAAAATATCCATGGACTAGAAATAAGCCAAGTGGCTATAATTTAATTAAACGATCAGTTTTAACTGTCCGAGTGCAGCTTTTAGGCTTTGTGGAAAATATGAGCACAGATAATTGCATTAGCTGAGAATAATGAGCCAAATAGCAATGTAAGACTAGAAAGGCAGAATGTCCAGTATAATCCAAACTGCCAAATCCTGGGATTATGGCCCTTTGCTTGTCCTATCACGGACGGCTGAAGAATTCAAACCATAAATGTTTATTTTAAAATGGGCATCCAAAGGCACTTCTTGGATCATTTGTTGCTGTTTAATATAATTGTGTCTGTTCCCTTAATACTCACTGATATTAGTCAAACCAGCATTTTATATTCCTTGAACAAAAGCCATTTGCAAGAGAAGAAAGAGTGCAAAACCTGGACTTTCTATTAACAAAATCTAGGTGATTTTACGTACACTTCAGGACTATTCCAGGACAAAGAGACCTGGTACATTTTACCTACTCTCAGCTGATTTTTTCCCCCCCACTGACATTGTGTATATTAGAAGATTGCTCAAAATTAAAAGATCTCTTGTGAGAAAGCAAGCTCTGCCTCTGAAATGACTGAAAGATTGGGCCCCAAATGGGCTCGTTGAGAGTTAGATTGTAAAGGTACAATATGTTCTGAGTAATGCATAACATAATAATATATAGAGCTATAATTATCTCATAGAGCTGAAAGGTCATTGAGTCCAGCTCCCTGCCTTCACTAGCAGGACCAAGTACTGATTTTTTGCCCCAGATCCCTGAGTGGCCCCCTCAAGGATTGAATTTATAACCCTGGGTTTACCAAGCCAATGCTCAAACCACTGAGCTATCCTTCCCCCCATGTAGCTATGCTGCCCCAGGAGCAGACCAGAGAATGAATTGTGGCTGTCCGATGCACACAATACCCTCCATTGTTCCCACCTTCACTCCAGTGTGGGGAGTAACATACTACAATCTATATCAGTAGCCAATTACTGTTTCCTCCTTGCTGGTTCAGCAATGCTGGCTGGCATGTTGCAGGTACAGGTGGAGCCAGGGCGCTTTCCATTCCAATCCCAACCTGTTCACACCTGTGTGGATGGAGGGTGGGGAGTAGCAGCTCCATTAGGCCTGCTCTCCCCCTGCTCTTGGCAGATGTGAGCAGCCTCTATAGGGGAGAACAGTGGCATCTTTATGTTCCCTTACTTCCCTATTCACTTGTGTGTAGAGACAATCTTGTCTTCGGTTTTAGTCGTGGTGAAGAAAGGTATGTTTAAAGCAGTGGGATGATATGAAGGGAGCACTGGAGAGATTCTGTAGATCATCTGTTTAGTAGAACAGTCATTTGTGAAATAGGAAAATACATTTTTTTAAAAAAGTAGTGATATATGAAAACTATTTTTCAAATATATTGAAGGGGCCCTATCAATCCTGAAAGAGGATAATAAAAAAGCAGATGGAGGAGCATCCCATTGTTGTATGAGGAAATCCTACCCAGGAAAATAGAAAGGGACGTACAGTCTCGTAAGTCAAGTGTAAAAAGTGTAATTAGCCAGGCCAAAAAGGAATTTGAAGAGCAACTAGCAAAATACTCAAAAACTAACAGCAAGCAATTTTTTTAAGTACATCAGAAGCAGGAAGCTGCCAAACAATCAGTGGGGGCACTGGACAATCGAGGTGCTAAAGGAGCACTCAAGGAAGACAAGGCCACTGCGGAGAAGCTATAAGTTTCATGGGTCCATCAATGGCTATTACCGAGGATGGTCAGGGATGCAACTTTATGCTAGGTGTCCCTGAACTCTGACTACTAGAAGCAAGGAGTGTACGACAGGCAGGGCCTACTCTAGGTTTTTTGCTGCCCCAAGCAAAAAAAAATTTGCCCCCTCCCGCCCCTTTTTTTGGCTTTTACACATGTTTGCACTTTGCAATGTTTTTGTTTGTTTGTTTGTTCTGGGTTTTTTTGACTGTTTAAAATTAAAAAAACAATGAAAACAGAGAATTTGTAGTTAGTGAAATATAACAATTTCCTACGAGTGTACTCATTTCATTTTAACAAAATCACAATTACAAACACTGATACTGGTAATGTTAAAAGAATGCGTAATGCTATAGCAGTGTTTGGAGTGAAAAAATCATTTCTTGCTATAAATTCTAATACTTTTAGAGGAGAAGTTTTAGGACTTAGCTCAGATAAAGCTATGTCTGGTTCAGACACAAGCAGCTGCCAGCAACTCCAGACCCAGAGAGGCAGCAGCACACACAGATTCCCTCTGTCCCATCACCCCAGCTTAGTGGAAATTGGGTACACGGGTGAGGGTGAGGGGGACACCCCGCCATTAATCAGCGCCCCCCCCCTTTCAGAGCAGACAGGAGGACGCTCCCAATCTGGAGTGGTCAGGGGCGACTCCAGGGATGAACAGAGGGCTGGGGGGGACGGGGACAGGAACAGCAGCAGTTGCACACGTAGAGCAGGGTGAAGGAGGGGCTCCCCCTGCTCCAGAGCAGTCACCTGGCTCTGATGGCTGGTCGTCCAATTGCCCCCTACAGCTCAGGTCTCTCCCCCTCCCCCACGCTGCTGCTCGCCTGCCTCCCTCAGCCAAGCAAGCCTCTCGGCAGCAGGTCAGGTGGGAATGCAAACCCTCTGCATGGCAGAATGCTGCCCCTGGAAATGTAACGCCCCAAGCACGTGCTTGCTTTGCTGGTGCCTAGAGCCGGTCCTTATGACAGGGGATGAATCACTTCATAATTGCCCTGTTCTGTTCATTCCCTCTGGGGCACCTGGCACTGGCCTCTGTTGGAGGACAGGATTCTGGGCTAGATGGACCATTGGTCTGACCCAGTACGGCTGTTCTGATTTTCTTAAATTAAAATATGTATTTTTCAACTGTTTTTAAAAGTCATTGTGTGGTGCAGGTCTCTGTTAAATTTGGCTGTATGGCTCTAACGGGAGAAAACTCTCCATATGTGAAAGGGAACAAATTTTTTATTTTTCAAACATCAGTGGGCCAGTTTATATGGCCGTTATTCACACCAGGAATCTGCACTATGGGATTTATTCCAAATAGAAAAACAAGGCTTACTACAGCCAGAACTCAGGTTAATACAACTTGCTTAGGCTGGGTCCAAACTAAACAACGATAAGTCTTCTCTTAGAGAGAAGGCAGCTCAGAGAAGCTCTCCTGCCTGCTCTCCTCCTTCCCCATTGCCCTTTTATTTCCCTCACACCCCGGGGAACTGGCTGTAGACTGCCAGTTAGGTCATTAATAGCATTCCCCTGCAGGAACTCCTGCTGCTCATTTTGGATATCTGCTGGACTTCAGTAGTCAAAGCCCCCGCAGGCTGTTCCTCTCAGAAATCACAATGATAAGAAAAACATAATGTTAAAAATAATCCAGGCATTAGATTATGAGTTGCTGTGGAAGAAAACATGCTCCCACTTCTCTCCACCTAGCTACTTTCCTGGCTGTCTATTTGTAGGTGGAGAAATCAATGTATTTATTTTGCCAAGATGGAGGTGGAGAAATCAATATATTTATTTTTCCTCCTGCAGCTTATATGATAAAACATTCCTGAAACAAGAGTCTGAAGATAGGAGTTGCCCAGCAGTTTTACCATGTGATCCAAAACTCATTAAAGTCAATGGAAAGACCTACACTGACTTAAAAAAACAACAAAAAACCCACCTTTGAATCAGGCCCTTACTGTGGCCATGTGCCAAACTAGTGACCCTTTCTAATTTCTATCTCCAGTGAGTGCTCAGATGCAGTATTTGAGATGAAACTTAGGTTTTCTTAGAAAAGCTGCATTGCACTATAATTGTTTTCCCTGCTGGTAGAAATATGATTTATTACCTTCTCTTCATTGCAAGGGGGAACACACAAGCAGTAGTCATTATCTGGGAAGAGAAAGGGGCTGGCTTTCTTCCATAGGTTTTGGAGGATTTTGTTTTGTTTTTTTACTACCAGTGCGGAGCCTTCCACATGCCTTTGATTTTAATTTTAAAAGGTTAAAAATGCCTAGAACCTAAACAAAACTTATTTTTCAACCCATTTTTTAAAATTTATTTATTTACCTTTTTCCATTTGTTGAAAATTCTGAAAAACGTCATTTTCAGTTTGGATGGAATTGATTTGGTTTTTTGTTTATTTGTTTGTTTGTTTTACTTTCCAGTGAACCAAAAAATCAATTACTCTTCCAGTTCTACATAAGACCGCTATTGTTCACTGCCTTGAGCTTTTTTTTAGGTCTTAAGATTTTCATACATGTAAAGTTAAATGAAGTCAACTGGCCGCTTGAAGTTACAGAGGTTCTTGTGGGCATTTCATGTTGCATAGAGTCAAAAGACAATTGTGGCTGCAAGGGTTATAAAAGTACCAAGGATTTATTTGTTGGAGTATATTGCATTGTTCAACCCATTACAGGACATGCATCACAGCTGCACAATTCATTTATTTTGCAGCTCACTTTGCATTGATCAACCGGCATTATAAATGAGAATTCTAGGCAAAAAGAGGTCGAGTTTGGCATGTACCTGACAAGGTGATGCTGCCTTCCAGGGGCTGCCCATCTTGGTAGTGTTTCCCTTCCATTCCAGCAATAGTTCAGGGGCCACCATCTTGGCAAGTAGCAATGTTGCATATCTCCCCGATTGTCTTTTTGCCTTTCTGAACAGGACCCTTCTCTGTCTCGGAGTAATATCCTCCAGTGCAGGGATGGCCTGCAGAGGTGCAATCAATAACCTGCCTCTTGGGAAAGTCTCCCACTCCCTCACTCCCATCCCCCTAAAATATTGTATATGGGTAATTTAAGGGGTATTATTTCATGGTGCAGGTAGCCCCAATAACTTAAAATGCCTCACTATCTCCAAGTGCACCGAGGCTGAAAAGAATGCAAGGCAATGGAATTCCAAAAGGGAGCATATTTGGAGAGAAGTAACATTCTAGCATTGTTGACATGGCGGTTAATATTGCTACTGGTTCCCCTGTTCTCCTAGCACCTGGCGTGGCATGGCCAACATGGACAGGAAGGTTATCAGTAGCCAAGTGCCTGGCCAACCTTCCAGAGGAGAGAGGGCAAGGGAGGAGATGTTTGCTCACCTTATGAATGGGTCCCACCAGAAGGCAAAAATCCCAAAGGAATGGAGAGAAGCATTCATCCTGCAAGACAAGAAAGAGAGAGAGGAGGACAAAGAGCCTGCCAAGAAGCTGTTAAAGGAGCACATGGATCAACTGGCCACAGAAAGGGACTTGCAGGGAAGGATGTTGGACATGATGCAAACACAGACAAGTTTCCTAGAGAACGTGGTTGCACTGTGCTCATGTGTAACACTCCAACATAGTACTCTCCTGCAGCCAGATGAGAACACAGGGCATTGAGAACCTCCTTTCAGTCACACAGCTGCAGGACACAGACCGTTCCCAAGCCATCCCACCCCGCAAGACAAGGTGAACAGCTACCATCCCACCTATGGATCTTTTGTGCACAAACACGTTAGCTCTGCACTTTGGCTATTTCTGCACCATTTTAGTCGGTTTTGAGTTTGCACTGTCTTGTTAGGTGTCACAGCCATTTCTTTTTATTATTTACAATTGCACTCTGTTGAAAACTGTCATTAAGATAAGATTCATCTCTCCCCAATACCACCTGTTCTTAATAAAATCAATTCATTACATTGTAATCATTTTATTCATTTACATTCCTTTCATTCATTACATTCCATTGATTTGCCTCCCGTACATCCTGCTCTCAAAATACAAACACAACACTTCTGGCCATTGGAACATTTGATAGAGGCCTCCTCTCCACCTCTGCCTCCCACCCCTCAGTAAGGCTCCCTCCCTTGCTGTCAAAGCGGTTGTGTAACACAAGCACCTGTAACACAAACCAGAGCTCTCTGAGAAGCCTCCATATTTGTCATGAAACACTGCCACCTTCCTTTCTGTCTTCCAAATCCATGCTCCCCAGTTAATCTACAGCCATTCTACGGACAGTTAAACAGTTCCTGTCTCCAAGTGTCCGGTAAAAGGGCCCCCAAGCCAGGGAAGACTGAGGTAAGTTGGATCTGCCAGAGTAACGACTGGAACACAACCCCATTAACGTCTCGAGTGGGTTTGGGGAAGCTAAAGTTCCATTTTTCATTGCATAAAAAAGGGGCGAGTTTCTAAAGAGCCTGGCATCATGGCCCTTTCCAGGCAACCCCTTAGGAATGTTAGTGAAGCTGCCATGGAGGTAAACCAGGCCTTGCATGAACATGAAGAAATTACACTTTCTGTTGATGAATGCCAAGGCCTGGGGGCAATGGAGGGCAAATACTAGGCTCGTGGATCCCATCCATGGTTCCTATATAATCCCAAGCATTCAACTCTATCAATAATAGAGGGGGAGGGATAGCTCAGTGGTTTGAGCATTGGCCTACTAAACCCAGGGTTGTGAATTGATTCCTTAAGGGGGCCACCAAGAGGGATCTGGGGCAAAATCAGTACTTGGTCCTGCTAGTGAAGGCAGGGGACTGGACTCAATGACCTTTCAGAGTCCCTTCCAGTTCTATGAGATAGGCATATCTCCATATTATTATTTTATTTATATGGCAACAACAATTCTCTCAACAGCAGCACCCACCTCCATGAAAACAGCCCCAACAGCTGATTTACCAGCACAAAACTGGTTAGCTACTGGGCATTAGCAATAAAGGGTGAGCAGCTTCCAGCTGGCAATTACCACACACTTCTCCACACTGCAGGAGGAGGGGACTCTCCAGCTGGTGCTCCAGCTCCAGTGTGAGCTCTGTGCAGATTTCCAGGAACGTAGCCACTCACATCCTGAAGTTCTGCAGACACTGCTGGTCATCCCAGGTCTGCAGCCCTAACCTGTCCCACCAGTCAGCGCTGCTTGGCCAGACCCAGAAGCAGCGCTCCATGGAAGCTGCTTCAGTAAAATGTCATGCAGGAGTAACTGTGTCCTCCGCCAGCGGTATCCATGTGGCCTCTTGGTGGTTATGGTGATGGCGATCTTCCATGTTCTCCAAAGCCACTCGCCTGCACGACTGCCACAACATCTGGTACCTCCTGTTCGTATTAACAATGGTCAGAATCTCTACCGCTCAGCAGTGCTTCCCCCAGGCTGCCTGACAGCAGCTTGAAAATTTATTTGCCCATGAAATAATGTGAAAATGACTGGCTAGTGAAAAACCAGACCAGTGTTGGGATATCATAGAAGGACCCCTGGGAGTTTGACCCCAAACCCCAGAATTCCATTATGTTCCAATAAGTATCCTACAATCCACTGAAATAAATAACCTATCAGGCCTTGCACTTAGTGACAGTATATTGCACTCTGGGATACCTGTCCAAAATGCTGTGCATTTATTTTGAAAAAGCGCAGTGCTGTGTGGACATCATGATTCACAAGGGAAGTAAGTCATTTTAAACAAAGCAGCATGGACATATTTGTTCGGTTTAGTTACAGCTGTATAATTACAAAAAACAACAACAACAAAAAACAATCTTTCCCATGTACACAAGACCAAAGAGGAGAATTCTGCAGCACCCTCTGAAAGTGCTTAGACACTGGATTAGTTTGACCTCCCCTGGAAGCTGGCTGTATTGTACAGGGTCTCGTTTGAATAAACATTCCGTGATCATAAGTAATTTTTGGTGTATACATAATCTTCAGAACAAAAACACTGTGTCAGCATGTGGGTACAGAAAACCAGAAACAATATGTCAGCAACAAGACTGTAGGCCTATTGAGGAAAGAGCCATTTTTCTTTCTGGAGCCTTCCAGCAGAAAGCCGCCTGTTCCAAATATTGCGGCTGGCTTTATGTTTAATTATCATCATGTATTTAAGGCGACATTCTTTTTAGCTATTTTTGGCGTGCATACTTTCTTAGCCAACATATCTATTGCAGTGGACCTACGAATATGCAACGATGTGCATTTGCGCAGGGAAGTTTTAAAAACATGCAGTACGTTTTAGAAGTCTGCATGCTGCACAGCACTGTAAACAAACCTGCGGGGCCCCAGTGTATTGAATCTGCTGCTGGTGTCCAGCCCTGCATTCTTTGGTATATGCAACATCTTACTGGAATTGTGATAGCACTGATTTACAGCATAAGCATAATAAATAGCAGCTGTTTTAAGTTAGAGCATATCAGTATCTCTTCTGATGTAGCAAGACCCTTGCTAAACTGATTCCTGATGCAAAAACTAATTCCTAAACACTTCGTCCATCATTCTTAGAGAAGACTTTCCAGATATCCCAGGCTCTACTTGAAAATGTTTGATGTTTCTTTTGTCAAGATCTTCTGTTTTCAACTATAGATTTGTACTCCAAACAAATATTTGGCAAGTCTGCAGATGTTGCCAACGGGATTCCAGCTTCTTTGGAAAGTAATGAAATTTATGGGCATTGGTGGTGTTGGGGTGGACAGAATCAGCATTGTAAAAACCAGACCTTGTGGTTTTAGTGACGCACAGATTATAATCACAAACAGCAGTGGCTGCATTCCAGTAGCCATGACGGGGGTAAAAGCAATGGTGAAGATTTGTAACACTAATTATTTATGGAAGCATGCTGTCCACCTGCCCAAAGCTGTCATCGTGAAATTGCCTTTAAAGAGCACCACAATAGTAGTTGCCCTACAAATGTTCATTCAGCTATGTTTACACAGATGAATGGTGACATCAAAATACTAGTTGTCAGGCAGTGTTCCTACTCAAATGTAATAGATCTGGAGTTGATATAGCTCTGAGTTTGGGACCGCTTCATGTTTCAGTATAGCTATTGTGTTACCTCGTTTAGCGCTCGACTGAGTCATTAAGCTCAACCTAGAGTAAAGACTGACACACAGCAGTCCTGCCTCAAAAAGAACACCAGGAGAGAATTGTGCCTCAAACAGGTACAAGTCTTCACCTGCCTCCCCCTTGTTTTGGGGAAGAAAGTAGCTTCACAATTGTTCAAGTGCAATTTATTTTGCCCTGTGAGCAGAGGGTGCAGCCAAAGCTTCTCCCACTTCCCACCTGTCTCCACCCACTGACTATCAGCGGGGCGTATCAGGTAATCAGCTCATTATCTCCCCCAAACCCTAGTACCTAGAGCTGCAATCTAAGCTGTCCTTACTCAACTGAGCAAAGGAACATGTTTGAGCCCCTTCTCACTCCAACACTGACGATTAAGGGCAAGGAACAATGTAGCCCTTAATCATTTCAAATGCAAAAATTTTCACTAGCTTCTGGATAAGGTACGTACTGCGTCACCAGATGGTCAAGTGGACATCTATGTTCTTTTGCTCTAATGTATCATCACATATACATATGCAAGCAGAGGCAGTGCTAGCCCATTGGGGGCCTTATTCAGGAATATTTTTGCTTCCGCCCCCAACGCATAATAAAAAACGAATAGGGGGCCTCCATGAGTGGCTCGGGGTCCTAAGCAATTGCTTAGTCTGCTTATGCCTCGCGCCAGCTCTGCATGCAGGCATGTCTGTTCCTTATGCTGTATACTTAGAAATGTGTAGCAAATATCATTGTTTGTTTATATTCGATTCTCTATAATTGTAATAGGGGACCCAATCTATTCCTCCCTCTCCAATGAAATACTGTAGGCTAATCTGGGTACTTATAGATACATTCCTGTTTATCTATCTGTCTTATGTATGGTTGCCCACACTATGGATGGGAGTTGGGGAGGGAACTCGGGATGTGTAGAGTGGAGAGGGTTATAGGAGGTCTAAAATATATGTATATTTTTAAACAATACAGTACATATAAAGTGGATACTCTACATAAGCCTTGCAGTGGTTTGTGCTCCTAAGGACATGTTTTAACCTGAGAAACACAGCTAGAGTCTCTGCTAGGTACACACTACTGAACTACAGCTGTGGTGTATGGGCACTTGGACCTACCTTATACAAACAGTGTACATTCTACTAAAAAACATTTTTGTCTGTACAACACAAAGTTCAAGTAGCCACGTGTAAGCTATTGTTCAGTGAACGCTATGCAGCCTCCTTTATGCCTGAGCCGCAGTAGATACCAACCTGTTAGGGTCCTAGCTTCGGCTTGTTAGCTCAAGGTGTAAAGACTTAGCATTCAGCTGTGGGAAATCTTAGTTCAGTCTCCAGTACTGGTTAAGATGGTGGCTCTCACACAGATTAAACGTGGAACTGACTTGCAACACCAGACCTCAAATTACATATTAAGAAAAAATATGATTTTTCAACACTCACTTATTTAAACAGCGAGCAGTGGGGTTTTTTGTTTGTTTGTTTGTTTTAAATGCAGCTTTAATTGCCAGATCAGAAAAACCAAAAATGGGAGGCATCCTGGGCCACATTTCCTTCTCCTGTTCTTTGCTTTTTTATTATGATTATGAAGCTTACCAGTGGAACGGAGATTATCTGTATGTATCAGAAAACATTCCTTATTAAGAGCATCAGCTGGGAGTCCTGAGCATGCCCAAGCATGCTCTTCATGCCCAAAAAATGTTACCGTCAAGCATGTGAAAAATTCACTATTGTCCTCCACATAGCAGACGATTCATTGAAATGGAAAGCAACTATTACAACTAAACATTTGGCCCAGAATCATTAACTGTATTTTAATAACCGGCCAAATGATATATCTTTACTGGCAATCAGTTAAACAATTTTTAGTGAAACCACAAAACCATCTTTTGCA